AGCAGAGGGTCTCATTTCTGCTAATGACTCGGCTTCACCCAGTTCACAGCCGTCCTGAGAAGACTGTGGTGTGGGATTGGAAAGAGCAGCGGAAGCCCGGCTTCCAGCTCCCGTCCCACCGCCCACCTGGTACCGCCTCGGGCAGCCTCGCCTTCCCTGGGCTCCCGCTGTCCTGCCTGTAAAATGGAAGTGGATTTGGTGGACCTCAGGGTCCCCTCTGGTTCTAACAGGCTGTCAGTTCATAGCTCAGTGCTCTGGCCATTGACCCCGACCTTCTGCCCTCGGCTCGCTAGCTGTCAGGTCAGCTGTGCCTGGTCCCGGGCCTCCTGACAGTCTGCTGGTTTGCTCCTCTGGTCCAGCAGTTCTCAAACTGGGTCCCTGGACCACAGCCTCAGCATCACCAGGGAGCTTGTCAGAGATACTCGTTCTTGGGCCCAACTCCAGAAATGACTTGGAAATTCTGGGAGTGGAGCCTGGCACTCTTACTTTTAATATATTTGTATTGATTTCAGACAGAAAGGGAGAGAGAGACACACACACATACACATCACTGATCAGCTGCCTCCTGCACGCCCCCTACTGGGGACTGAGCCCACAACAGGCATGTGCCCTGACCCGGAATGGAACCCTGGTTCATGGGTTGACACTCAATCACTGAGCCACACCAGCGGGCTAGCACTCTTTATTTTAACAAGCCAACAAGGTGATTCCGATGCCTGGCCAGGTTCGAGAACCTCTGCTTTAGTCTCTGCACTTTTCTTCTGAGAACCCCAAGCCTCTGTGGACCCCAAGCCACTGGGGGTACTTTTGAAGGGACCCCTGAGAGTGGAAGAGGAGGTGCCAGAGTTCTGGAGCCATGTGATCACTAGCAGCATTGCCAGAGAAGGGAGAGTTAGAGAGTACAGAACCCTAAAGCGGAGAGATCCCTGACAGAATGCGGAGTTTACCCAACACTGGGGCAGCTTGTGAAAAAGAAGTTGTATCTGACCCGTTTGTTTCTTTCTCGTTTATTCTGCACACAGTTAGGCCATGAGTCTTCATCCACCCTTTCGGTACACCCAGCTCTGGTGGGCCCTGCAGAGCTGGTGGGAAGTAAGACCTGTATGATCCCTCCTTCTCAGGACTCAGGTTCCAGTGGCAGAACAGACAAATACGCAAGCTTAATAAAAGCAGCAGAGTGTGAATGTGCTCTTAGAAAAACAAATAAGCTGCTGTGATGGAGAGGACCCCGGGGAGGGTAACTATTTGGGGAGGTCAGGGAAGGCCTCCCTGGAATGGACATTTGAGCTGAGAGCGCGTGATGGAATGCCACGAAGAGCTGAGAAGGGCTGCAGTGAGGGCAGCGTGAGCACCCTCCTTGTCCCTGCTCCACATAGAAAATTCCTGCGTGTGAAACTACGGTGGCTGGTGGGTGTGCATCTGCCCCTGCTGTGTTCGGGACAGAAACTGTCTGAGACCCTTAGACATTCCAAGTCTTGGCTCCAGAATGTAGCTGTCCTGACGCCTGGCATTGTGTCCTGACCCCGCACCTCTGCCCCCACGGGCCAGTGCTTTTAACACCTCCGATTCTGGTCTGCCCCTTCGCGGACCACAAAAATTCCCCCAGCAAGTGGAGGGCCAAGCAGCCTTGTAAAGGTGGATTCTCTTCCAACCCTAGATTTTACTCTATTAAGAAATACTTCAAGAAGTGCAAAAGCAAAGTATAGAGGCTAATGTAATGAGACCTAGAAACTCACCCGTGGCTTAAGGGAAAAAACTATTAAAAATACACTGAGCTCACCCAGCCGGTCCGGCTCAGTGGTTGAGCATCGACCTATGAACCAGGAGGTCACAGTTCAATTCCCAGTCAGGGCACATGCCCGGGTTGTGGGCTCAATCCCCAGTGTGGAGCATGCAGGAGGCAGCTGATCAATAATTCTCTCTCATCATTGATGTTTCTATCTCTCCCTTCTTCTCTGAAATCAATACATTTTTAAATACATTGAGTTCTCTGACCTCATTCCTCTTCTGTAGAAGCTATTACCTTGCATTGGGTATCATTCCTGCAGGACCTGATTTCAATCCAGTGTTTAGAGTTGAGGATAGTGGACTGAACATTTGTACTAGCTGCTTCTTTTTTTATTGAATTTATTGGGGTGACATTGGTTAATAAAATTATATAGGCTTCAGGTGTATAATTCTATAATACATCATCTGTATATTGTGTGGTGTGTTCACCGTCCCCTGTCAAGTCTCCTTCCATCACCATTTACCGCCCCCCCACCCCTTCTACCTGCCCCCATCCCACTTTCCCTCTGGTAATCACCATACTGCTGTCTGTGTCTATGAGGTGTTTTGTTTTGTTTTGTTTTGCTTGATGATTCCAGAGGTGGGGAACCATTTCCTGCCAAGGACCATCATTTGTGAGTCATACAAAATTATCAACTTAAAAATTAGCCTGCTCGCCCTGGCCGGTTTGGCTCAGTGGATAGAGCGTCGGTCTGTGGACCCAAGGGTCCCAGGTTCGATTCCGGTCAAGGGCATGTACCTTGGTTGCAGACACATACCCAGTAGGGAGTGTGCAGAAGGCAGCTGGTCAATGTTTCTCTCTCATTGATGTTTCTAACTCTCCCTCTCCCTTCCTCTCTGTAAAAAATCAATAAAATGTATTTTTTTAAAAATTAGCCTGCTATATTTGGTCAAACATTTAATTAACTCACCCCTAATGCCTTAGCAGGGCCAGACCAAATGATTTTGAGGGCCTTCTAGGGCCCGTGGGCCAGACATTCCCCACCCCTGGAATCCCTTCACCTTTTTTACCCAGCCCCCTCCCCCCTCTCCCCGCTGACAGCTGTCAGTCTGTCCTCTGTACCTATGAGTCTGTTTCTGTTTTGTTTGTTCACTTATTTTGCTCATTAACTTCCACATATAAGTAAAACCATTTGGTACTTGTCTTTCTCTGTTCTGGCTCCTTCTTGATTGCCTTCCCCCTATATCTGTTGTGCGACTTCTTGAGATTCAATGTCTTTAAGAATTGGGGGAAATGAGCTACAGTTTCCATTTCTATTTCTAAGAGCCCACAGGTTTCAGCCTCAGACTGTCGTATTGAGCTTTGACTGCACTGAGCTCCCCAGTGCTGCCTGGGGTCTGGGCCCTGCGGATGGGTTGGTCGGAAGATGGCACCAGCCTGTGGGATCTGGGGGCCACTTACCTGCAGCTCTGTTTGCTGCGGAATGGACCTGGCCGCCTTAGGACATTACAAATGAATGAACTCATAAAAGCAGAGTTTCACTGTCAGAATCCACAGACAGGAAGGCGTGACTGTTCTTCCTGTTGGTCAAAACTGGGATAGAGGGGAGGGAGTCATCCCCCCGGGCCCAGGCTGTCATGGCCGTGTCCCTTGGTAACAACCAGCACGTCGCACAACTGGGCATGCTCTGCTGACGAGATGAAAGTCACCACCTTTTGTTGTCTTATTGCAGGGCTCTGTGAACTTCAAGTTCGGGGTTCTTTTTGCCAAAGATGGGCAGCTCACCGATGACGAGATGTTCAGCAACGGTGAGTGTCTCCCCTGCTGACAGGACCCCCCCTCCCCCCCGTTTCAGCTCTGACGACCGAACTTGCCGGTGGGGTTGGAGCCTTTATTTAATGCAGAGAAACCGCCGGTAGTTTCAGCAAAGTGTGGGGTAAATGCCCAGGGTAGATTTGGTAGGGCAGATGTTGCCCCGTTTCGTTGGTTTGATAAATATTTACCGGTCGCTTAACTTGTCCTGGGTCTCGGTGGGAAGTGACATGGGGTCGGAAGAAGCTGGTTCTGCATAATCAGGAGCAGAGGGGGCTCTTCCCTGTGAGGTCAGGGCTGGGGGATTGTAGGATGGCGTCATTTCCTGTTATTTAGCGCTTGTCATGTTCAGTGTCTTCTGTTATTCGTGGAAATGGTCATCATGTGTTACCTCGCAGTGCGAGCCCCTTGTGGCCCCGCCGGCGGGGGGGCTGGTTAGTCTGATGCTGTGGCTTCCTTCCCGTGTCCTGGGAGCCGTGGGCCTCCTGCCGGGCCCATTCCCTTTCCCACCGCACGCACCGTTTGTCCGCAGAGCTGGCTCTTCAGCGGCTGCAGCTAGAGAAGGAGGACTTGCCGCCCCTCCTCACGCTTTCCCTTTTTCCACAGAAATCGGAAGTGACGCTTTTCAGAAATTCTTACACCTCCTGGGCGACACAATCACTCTGAAGGGCTGGACGGGCTACCGTGGCGGTCTGGACACCAAAAGTAAGCTCGCCCTGGCTTGGCACTGCTGGCCTTGGTAGGCCTCTGCCGCCGGCCTGACCGTAGTTGAACTTATACCCAAGTGAGGGAGAGAGGGTAAGTGGGGGTTTGAGCTCCACACCAGCCTGGCTCGGGGTCGCTGTTCAGTCTGCCCGTGTTTCATGGACACACACGGTCAGTATTGGTGTCATCTTGTGTTACTTTTGTCCTGTCCACTGGCGGTAACTGGAAGGCGAGGAGTTACAGCACACTCTCCCTTTTAGCCCAAACTTCTCACGCTGTCCTGACTCCGGGGCGAGGCACGAGTCTGTCAGCAAGCGAGCGGAGAGCGGGCGGGGGAGGGCTGCCCACGGGCAGCGTTCACACTGCGCTCCCCGCAGGTGGATAGTCCAGGGGGACCTTAAGGACCATCCGATTGTATGCAGCCCCTCGTCTGTCTCACATGGAGACCCTTCCTCCGGCCCCGGCGTTCACTGCACCCACTCAGTGCGTGTTCGTGTTTTACAGATGACACCACAGGGATCCACTCGGTCTACACTCTCTACCAAGGCCACGAGATCATGTTCCACGTGTCCACCATGCTGCCGTACTCCAAAGAGAACAAGCAGCAGGTGGGTGCGAGCGCCGAGGCCCTCACATGTGACTGACAGCAGAAAGCTCCGCCGGCTTCCTGGAGTCAGACTAAGGTGCCCACAGAGGAGCAGAGCTTCGGCCCCAGTTCAGGGTGCTGTTTGCAGTCTCTGCACTGGAACCTTCCACAGCCTTAGGGAGAACCACCCTCCCTGGTGCCTTCGCCAGAAAGTAATGAAGGGCCGGAGGGAGCAGTGCACGCCGTGCCTGTGTGAAAGCGTGTGTATCTGCGTGTGTGAACATGTGTGAGCATGTGCATATCTTCATGTGTGGATGTGTGTACCTATGTGTGTGAATGTGTATGTTTCTGCATGTGTGAGTGTATCTGCATGTGTGTGTGTCTGCATGTGTGAGCATGTATTTGCATGTGAGTGTGTGTATCTGTGTGTGAGTGTGTGTATCTGTGAGCATGCGTATCCGTGTGTGAGCATGTGTGTATCTTCATGTGTGGATGAGTGAATGTGTGTGTATCTGCATGTGTGAGTATGTATATCTGCATGTGTGAATGTGTGTGTATCTGCATGTGTGAGCGTGTGTATCTGCATGTGTGAGCATGTGTATCTGCGTGTGTGGGTGTGTGTATCTGTGTGAGCATGTATATCTCTGTGTGTGAGCATGTGTGTATCTTCATGTGTGGATGCGTGTATCTGCATGTGTGAATGTGTGTGTATCTGCGTGTGTGAGCATGTGTATCTGTGAGAGCGTGTGTATCTGCGTGTGTGTGAGTGGTTTGTGACTCCTGAGCGGCTGTTTTGCATTTACGCTGCCTTTCCCCTGTGACTCCTCGCAGTGGGCCTTGTGTCTTGTCCGGGACCTAAAATAAGTGCGTTCTGAGTAATGGCTGATGAGTGTTTGCAAAAAGATAATACGATCTATAAGACTGAAAGTATTTCCTGTCAGGCCCTTTACAGAAAAAAAAACACTGACCACACGTCGAGGCGATCATTTTGGAAAGGTCAGCTGGGGTCAGCTTAGGTAGGGCCTTGTTTTAACCAGTATCTGCGTCAGAACTAAGCTTTTCTAAAAATCCACACGCTGAGCCCATCCCCAGGGAATTCGGATGCACTGCCTCTTGTTTGGGGGCCTTGGATGCCAGGCTAAGGCAATGATGAATGAAGATGAACGCGATCAGAAAAGTAAAATGGGAGAAAGTGGAGGCAGGGAGGCTGGCTAGGAGGCTTCTGCAGAGGCTGGATGAGGACATGAGGCCCGAATTGGGAGAGGTGAGGTGGAGACGGACAGCAGAGCCGGGAGCCGGCTGGTAAAACCTGGGAGGCAGGCGTGAAAGCGGCCGAAGCTTGGGCTCTGGTCCTGGTGGCTGTCGCACTGTGCTGCTTGTTCAGCTCTGTGCTGGGTCTGAGCGGCCTTCTCAGTGATGCTATTTATGCTCAATCCAGGTGGAAAGGAAGCGCCACATCGGGAACGACATCGTCACCATTGTGTTCCAGGAAGGAGAGGAGCCCTGTCCTGCCTTTAAGCCTTCCATGATCCGCTCCCATTTTACACGTATCCTGGGCCTTGTGACTGCTCTGGTTCGGTGGGCTATCACTCAGCCTCACGGGACGGAAATGGTCCTCTCGCCAAGAGTTATCATTGACTTGCATGTTATATTGTTTTGTGTTGATAGATTCTTACATCTGCCATTTGGGATTTTCCCTCAGCATCGTTCTCTCTTCTCTCTCCATCCCTTGGAGTAACTGTGGATTAATTCCCAG